AGTTAAACACACATTTACGGTTGTTTTCATAACTCATGTTGGTGGTTTTTATTTCAGCTTTTCCAGTGTATCTACGACACATATTACTCATAGAAAATGTATACTCTACTGAAGTCGTAATTCAAATAGAACAGACGGACTAAGTCAAAGAATAGTATTCCTACCGCTTCATATTTCAAACCGTGACCAGAATGCACTTACCAAATATACTCTAAACTACACTGACTTTAATGACACAATGTAAATGATACTGTACTTAAGTGTTATATGTCGAAAGGTATAGGGGCACATAATTCTCGTTTTACTCAAAACTAATAGATAAGTCAAAATACAAGTGTTCTGTCTGTGGGGTGATCTCAACAGTTTCCGGCGAAGAAGTATACAATTTCAATCATCTGTTTACAGTCCTGAACAAACAAAATAGAAACATTACACAGGGTATGTATAAATCAAATAAATTTTGCGTGAGAAAAATATATATATTATAAGCTGTCCTTGAAATATCTACGCACGATTTTAACAAAGAACAAAAAAAATAATATCATTGTTGTTGCTTGGCAGCTCCACGGTTCGTTGATACGAAGTCAATGGAAAGATCGCTGCTCCAGATAGTTCTTCAGGGACGTCTCATCCTGAGGGGAAATTAGTCACTACAATAAATCAGAATGGTGATTAGAACAATACAACAGAGATAATGGGTGAAAGGGTGGAAATCTTCTTCCCTTAGCCCCAAATAATCATAACACTTTTTACAATTGTCTGATTAAATCGTCGTCACCGGGAACTCTCAGTCAAGAGTTTATATTAGGGTTGTAAAATCATTTTGCTGTATAAAGCATGCTGTTTCTGTTTCCAGTGAAAAAGTCATGTCTGACCAGATTATATTTCACCTAGTGCAAATTTGGAGGAGTATCAAGAATGTAAGCAGTCTTATATGTTATGGGTATTTAGAACTCGTTTTTTCAACTCATGTCTATGTTAAATGTTGATAGCCACTATAACATAAAAAAAACGGTCATGCTTCGATCGTAGATAAATATGGAAAAAAATAACAGGCAATCACGTCAAATCATCATGGCGATTCTGCGCATTGATTTGAGCCTGACTCGGAGACAGGTTTAAGGTGGGGATCTATGGGCCTCTCTCATTTCAAATTTAAACAATGAACACCATTGTAATCCTAACTATTCGAGATAATTTTTTGTTTTTTTGTTTGTTTATGTTTAACGGCCCATCGACGGCTGTGGTCATTTAGGGCCATGGTGATTTATTTATTTATCTTATTTTTTTTAACAAACATGTGAGTAGCGAAGATAAAATCAGATAAAATGGTTCATTTTAAAAGCGTTCGCATTGTATGTGTAGATAATCAAAAATAAAAAGGGGGTTAAAATAATAAAAGAGATAACGAATAGATGATATGGAATATGTGATATATATAACGTCAAAAAGGGTAAGTTGGGTTAAAAGACATCAGAGTCTATAGAATAGACCGAAGTCTTTCAAATAGTTAAATAATGCCTTCGAATCCACGGAACTGAAAAGAGTTTTTATATCCGGGACTCGAAAGTAGTTATCACGAATGTGTTTAAAATCGAACATTCTATTAAAAAATGTTCCACTGTAAATGGAGTGTCACATGCGTGGCATGAAGGTAGATCTTCTCGTTTTAAAAGGTACGAATGAGTAGGATATGTGTGCCCAGTACGGAGCCGAGCGTGGACCATTTCCTCTCTACGATCTTTCCGACTTGGAATAGATGTTTTAAGTTTCGGTTGTCCCTTAAAAAGTTTGTTGGTGGTCTCTCGAGACCAGCGTTGCTGCCATTCATTTTGAATGGCTGTACGAATAGTAGGTTTAAAATCTGTGTATGGTAGTTTGATATTTGTTTGTTGGAGATTTAATGAATTTTTTGCATCCCTGTCAACACATTCGTTGCCTTTAATTCCGACATGGCTCGGAATCCATAGTAAAGTTATTTTTGACTTATTAATGATACGAGATATTCGAAGAGCAAGGTTTTGTATGAGTGTGTTTAAAGGATCTCGTAACTGTAATCTCTGTAGGACAGATAGAGAGTCTGAACATATGATTGCCTTTTTAATGCGGTATTCACCGATATGGTCGAGATAAATCATTTGTATAGTTGACTGATATAAAGTGAGAAGTACCACAGATGAATAAGATGTTTGAGATAGATCGTAAGCTATAATTACCTCTGATATTAGTAAGTTGTTGCTTGTTCAATTATTATATAAAGTTTATGGGATACTAGGACCAAAAGTGACCGGGGTTTTTCACTGAGAATGTTTATTGGCGCAAGCACCGTTTTCGTCTCTTGGTTGATCGACCTTAGGATCGTTTTTGTGAATACATAATTATATATTTTTATGACGGTATCACCGTCATAAACGTATTGAAACAACATACGTTTTGTCATTATTTATTTCGACACTGACGTTTTTCAACACCAGTTTTTACATCAAGGTTTCCTCTGAACACTTTCAACCCGTTGCTTCATAATGAACTGTAAATGTCTAGATGATATCGGTACGTTTATTGTTCCTTTTTATGTTGTTGCTCATTGTGTTTTATATAGAACTTATATTATCTGTCACCGAGTTATGTTGGCATTGGAACATGTCTAAAGTGGTTATGAATATGGGAAATATTTCTGCTAAGATAATATAAATCTAGACCCAGCAATAACTATGTAGTTATATAGATCTAATAGAATCTGTCACCCCCTTGGGGGTTAGACAAGATTCTTAAGTTGTCAAGCACGAGGCCTGCCGAGTGTTTGACAGCTTAAGAATCTTACCCTGAGGGTTGAGATCACCCTGTCTCACTCCCAAGGGGGTGAATGATTATTATTCTCTTACCCTGTTTAGCCTTGTATTTTATATAGACGTTACATCAATGCAAGACAATGTTGATGTGATGCGGCTGAATTGTCGACGTGACGTCATTGTATTGTTGCCGTGACGTCATGGTATTGTTGCAATGACGTCATACAATTGTTGAGAACGTACAAAGAACACGTGTAGCTTGTCTCAACCCTAGGGTGAGATTAATAGAATCTTTCACCCCCTTGGGGGTGAGATAGGAGAATCTCAACCCGAGGGGAAGATTCTTAAGTTGCCAAACACGAGGCTTTGTCGAGTGTTTGGCAACTTAAGAATCTTTTCCCGAGGGTGGAGATTCCCCTTTCTCACCAACAAGGGGGTGAATGATTCTTTTTCTCTTACCCTGTTCTCCCATTGTGTATTATACACAATGTAACGATAACGTTACATGCTAAATTCAGGGTTGACGTGACGTTGGCGGATTGTTGACTTGACGTCATTGTATTGTTGAAGTGACGTCATGCCATTGTTATGAATAGGGGAATCCCCCCGTCTCAACCCTAGGGTGAGACAAGAAAATCTCACACCGGTAAAATGGTGGATATCCCTGCCCAGGGTAAGAGAAATAAAGTTCCGGATGCTATTGTATAGAATACCTTTGATCTTGTACTGGATACAACAGGTGGATTATCACTATAAACAGATGTTAAGAATATCACTTTTAACAGACGTTAGCTTTTTAAAAAAAAACACATAAGGATTATCAATTTAAGCATACGTTAGGATTATCACTTTATACAAACTTTAGGATCATCACTACATACAGACGTTGGGATTATCACCTTATGCAGACGTAAATATTATCACTATATACAGACGTTAAGATGATCATTGTATATAGACATTAGGATTATCACTTCATACCGACGATTGGATTATCTCTTCATACAGACGATAGGGGTTTCACTTCATACAGACTTTAGGATTATCACTTTATACAGACGTTAGGATTATCACTTTATACAGCCGTTAGGATTATCACTACATAAAGACATTAGGATTATCACTTTATACAGAAGTTAGGACTATCACTACATACAGACGTTAGGATTATCACTTTATACAGACGGTAGGATTATCACTATATACAGACGTTATGATTATCACTTTATACAGACATTAGTATAAATACTTTATACAGCCATTATAATTATCACTTGATAAAGACGTTAGGATTATCACTTCATACAGACGTTAGGAATACATTTGTATCACTTCAAACAGATGTTTTGAATGTCCCTCCATTCAGACGGAAGAATTATCACTATATACAGACGTTAAGATGATCATTGTATATAGACTTTAGGATTATCACTTCATACCGAGGATAGGGGTATCACGTTATACAGACTTTAGGATTATCACTTCATACAGCCGTTAGGATTATCACTACATAAAGACATTAGGATTATCAGTTTATACAGAAGTTAGGATTATCACTACATACATACGTTAGGATTATCACTTTATACAGACATTAGGATTATCCCTTTATACAGACGTTAAAATTATCACTTTATACAGAAGTTAGGACTATCACTACATACAGACGTTAGGATTATCACTTTGTACAGACGGTAGGATTATCACTATATACAGACGTTATGATTATCACTTTATACAGACATTAGGATAAATACTTTATACAGCCATTATAATTATCACTTCATACAGACGTTAGGATTACCACTTCATACAGACGTTAGGAATACATTTGTATCACTTCGAACAGATGTTTTGAATGTCCCTCCATTCAGACGGAAGAATTATCACAACAGTCAGTCGTAAAAAGTATCACTCAATACAGGCTTAAGGATTATTGCTGAATAACGAATCTTTAAACACGTAAACAACAGCATTATGAGGAAGGCAGTAGTTAATTGTTTTAAATAACTGTGTGATACTATATAACTGATATCAGAAGGGATTACAGCAATACACAATGCCAAATATGACGGGTATATATTTTCCTTTGTACCTCTAAAGCTATGATATTGTTGAGTTTAATACGGAAGTATTGACTGCACTACTGTATCTATTCCCCTGATCTAACTCTGTACTGTATATCCTCACCTAATGACACACTTTATCTACTCACCTGAAAAACCCACGGTGTCCAATAGCTTCTGTGCTCGAGATTCCGACACGTCCCCTACCGTTGTTGTATCCAATATTTTCCCCGCTTCCATCAACTAGCCGCTGAAAATTTCCATCACGTAATCGAATGACTTTCAGAATGTCTGATCTAGATTTTCGGAGGTTTCTCATAAAGCTCGTTAAAAATCTTCTCGGTTCAATTTTCTTGCTGTCTTGATATTTGTTTTGCTTTCTCTCTGTACTCGCCATGTGAGGTTTAAGTTTTTCGGCCTTAGTGAACTCGTGTCTACGTCTAGCAAGATCTGATGGAGACTTCCTCTTTGCATTTTCAGTAAATCTTTCATGACTATCAGGCAGGGTTTTACTATGTTTGTCCGTGCTCTTAGAGTATTCGTTAGATCTCAATCTGCCTTTTGAACTTTCACCGTCAGACTGGGAGCGTTTACCTGGTGTAGAATCTGCCGCGGTATCAGCCTTTTTCTGCTTAGAATCACCCTCTGATCTTAAACTACTCTCTGCAGAAGACTTTCCAGATCCTGCATCTTGAGTAAAACTTTTGTTTTCAACACTAATGTTGTCAGACTTTGATTGCTTGTCAGATGGAGAACCATTTTCTGTACCATTACTTTCAGCACTATATCCTTGATCTGAAGAGAAATCACTTTCTTTGCTTTCACCGCCAGAGCTAGCTCCTTCGTCTGATGTTGAACTCGTTTTACTATCACTGCCAGATTTTGAATCCTTGTCTGATGTTGAACCATTTTCCGTACTCTCACTGTCAGATTTGGATCCTTCGTCTGATGATGAACCTGTTTCCGTACTATCACCGTCAGAATTAGATCCTTCGTCTGCACTGTCTTTATCAGATTTAGATCCTTTGTCTGATGTTGAACCCTGATCTGTACTGTCACCGTCAGAATTTGATCCTTCGTCTGATGTTGAACGCTTTTCTTTACTTTCACCTCCAGATTGAGATCCTTCGTCGTCTGTGGTTGAACCTGTTTCATTACTATCATCATTAGAATTAGATCCTAAAACGTCTGATGTTGAACCCTGTTCTCCACTGTCTCTGTCAGATTTAGATCCTTTGTCTGATGTTGAATCCAGTTCTGCACTGTCACCGTCAGATTTAGATATGTTGTCTGATGCTGAATCCTGCTCTCCACTATCTCTGTCAGATTTAGATCCGTTGTCTGATGTTGAAGCCTTTTCTGTACTGTCTTTGTCAGATCTAGATCCTTTTTCTGGTGTTGAACCCTGTTCTGTACTGTCACTTATAAAGTTAGAACCCTTGTCTGATGTTGAACCTCTTTCTATACTTTCACTGTCATGTTCAGATCCCTCGTCTGAATTTGAATCTCTTTCATTAGTTTCATTATCAGATTTAGATCCCTTGTCTGAGGTTGAACCTCTTTCTTTACTTTCATTATCAGATTTAGATCCCTTGTCTGAAGTTGAACCTCTTTTATTATTTCCATTATCAGATTTAGATCCCGTGTCTGAAGTTGAACCTCTTTCATTACTTCCATTATCAGATTTAGATCCCTTGTCTGAAGTTGGACCTCTTTCATTACTTCCATTATCAGATTTAGATCCCTTGTCTGAGGTTGAACCTCTTTCTTTATTTTCATTATCAGATTTAGATCTCTTGTCTGAAGTTGAACCTCTTTCATTAGTTTCATTATCAGATTTAGATCCCTTGTCTGAGGTTGAACCTCTTTCTTTACTTTCATTATCAGATTTAGATCCCTTGTCTGAAGTTGAACCTCTTTTATTATTTCCATTATCAGATTTAGATCCCTTGTCTGAAGTTGAACCTCTTTCATTACTTCCATTATAAGATTTAGATCCCTTGTCTGAAGTTGAACCTCTTTCATTACTTCCATTATCAGATTTAGATCCCTTGTCTGAGGTTGAACCTCTTTCTTTATTTTCATTATCAGATTTAGATCTCTTGTCTGAAGTTGAACCTCTTTCATTATTTTCATTATCAGATTTAGATCCCTTGTCTGAGGTTGAACCTCTTTCTTTACTTTCATTATCAGATTTAGATCTCTTGTCTGAAGTTGAACCTCTTTCATTATTTCCATTATCAGATTTAGATCCCGTGTCTGAGGTTGAACCTCTTTCTTTACTTTCATTATCAGATTCAGATCTCTTGTCTGAAGTTGAACCTCTATCATTACTTCCATTATCAGACTTAGATCCCTTGTCTGAGGTTGAACCTCTTTCTTTACTTTCATTATCAGATTTAGATCTCTTGTCTGAAGTTGAACCTCTTTTATTATTTCCATTATCAGATTTAGATCCCGTGTCTGAAGTTGAACCTCTTTCATTACTTCCATTATCAGATTTAGATCCCTTGTCTGAAGTTGAACCTCTTTCATTACTTCCATTATCAGATTTAGATCCCTTGTCTGAGGTTGAACCTCTTTCTTTATTTTCATTATCAGATTTAGATCTCTTGTCTGAAGTTGAACCTCTTTCATTATTTCCATTGTCAGATTTAGATCCCTTGTCTGAGGTTGAACCTCTTTCTTTACTTTCATTATCAGATTCAGATCTCTTGTCTGAAGTTGAACCTCTATCATTACTTCCATTATCAGACTTAGATCCCTTGTCTGAGGTTGAACCTCTTTCTTTACTTTCATTATCAGATTTAGATCTCTTGTCTGAAGTTGAACCTCTTTTCGTAGTATCATTATCCGATTCAGATCTCTTGACAGACGTAGAACTCAATACTGGCCTGGCAACATTATTGGTATCACCTTCAATGCTATCTATTTGCTTTTGCTGATAGTTGTCTGTACTTTCCATGCCTAAAGTGTCCCTTTCATCACTATCTATCCCTTTCCTCGAACTTTCCGCTGAACGGTAAGATTTGTCCGCACTGTTATCACTTAGTTTCTCGACGACATTGCTGGTATTTTCTGTATATTTTTCTTTGCTTTGTTGCCCTCGTTTCTCAGCACTGTTGACATTTATTTTCATTTTGGCTACCTTATCTTCCCTTTGTTGTTCGAAACTGTCGGTCTTCCTTTTTTCACGTTGAACATTTTCGCGTAGGCGTGTCTTGTCAATCCGCAGCTGCTTCGTTGGTTGTGTCTCAAATCTAGAACTCGTATAACCTCTAAAAGAAGAAGTGCTGACCGGTTTATCCGAATGAACAAGTTTCAGTTCGATCTTCCGGTTCCTTGCTGTTGAACGCAGTCGTTCTCTTTTAAGTGTGCACGTCAAAATACACCTTATGCACCATCGTCGAATGTTCATTTCACTTGTCCTCAAAAGCCTGAGACACGTGCCATGGGAATTGCATGGAGGGCAAGGCAACCATCTGATCAACAAATCGTAGCCCACGTTTCTCCCTCTTGTCGTGGAAACGAATTTCGCATCTAAGTAAACATAAAAAAATGGCATAGGCAGAATATAATTTTGTTTTATCATTTTTCATTTGTTAATCAATCATTTTTTGTGTTCTAAATTGCAATCTAGGACAGTAAACATGAACGCACGCGAGCCTCATTTTTCACCCTCGATTTTAAATTGGTTATCTTAATTATTCTGCTGGGCTCCTGCTTGAAAACTTTAAATCCATACAAATGTAATGAGAAATAATGATATCTGCCTTAAAATTGTATAACTCTTAAGGATTGAATTCCGCTTTGTTGAGGTTTATGAGGTTTATACCCCTTAAACCTCAACAAAATGGGATTCTATCCTTATATTTACATTCAGAGCGATATTGATATTTGTTTGGATAATTTCTAAAATATCGGTCTTGTGCAAGTCTACCACCACGGAAGGTATCAAAACTTATGACGTCATAACTCACTGTGAGTCGTCGTCCTGGTAAGATCAATAAGCAAATTAAGATGTAAATTATTTTTTGAATTTAATTGAATACTTCTGACAAAAAATAAACAAATTGAAAACAATCTATGAATTAAACTACTTCCCGCGCTCCGCGGAATAACAGAGTAATCAGGTTGATAATAAGCTGATGTATTCATACGCCAACTAAAATTTTCATTGAAAAATAATCTTTAAAATGTTAAGTAGGTATATTGAGTCCAAGTTCAGTAGAAAATGTAAATATATAGTAATAAACTTCTTTAATATTAAAGATAGGAAGTATTGAAAGATATAAAAGAACAGTGTTTTTCATTGGTTATTAAATCATCATTGTCTATTGTCAAGATTGAGACAAATTAAAGTAAAATGTCTTTTGATTATGAATGTGTCCTGTTGTTAATCTGAATAATAACGAAATGAGTTGTGACAGAATGCAGAAAGCTCGTTTAAACATTTCCATATTGCCTCAGGCCTGATGGGCATAGGAAATCGCTTAAGTAATATTAAATGTTATTTCGTGGAAAAATCATTACATTTAAAGATGCTTCTGTATCTTATTTTGTCTTCGGATAATCATTTCGAATCCCTATGCATGTAAATTTGTGCTTATGATTTTAATATTTTTTTAACATATTTTATGTTTAGCATCAATTTTACCATCCTAATTAATACTTTCATGTGGTATATCAAATTTCCATTTCAAGAGAATAATAATAATATTGAATAACCGAGCCTTGAAAATTGTGATTGGACTAAACACCAACAAAATGAAGCCCTATCAAGTGCATCTGTACATAAACCAGGACCCCAACATCATATGCCCGCATCGAACTGAGCCTAAACTAAATTCCAAATAGACTAAACATAAAGATTCAAGGTGAGTCAAATTCAAAAGCGTTGGTGGTATAACGACCAGTGTTCTTATGACCTGTAACAACCTATTAATTATTTATATTTATCAATTCAATAGTCGTAATATTGAATACTCATATATATGCATATATATATATTGTTAACGATCAGCCCCATCATTTACAAATATATATATATATATTTATTTTATCTATATAACATAAAATCGTTGTAACAAAGCTAGAAACGTTAGATTAATTTGGTTAATAAGTTGATAAAATAATACGGTTTTAAAGCAGTAACAACAACAGTGTGAACGACATTACGTCACATTGTTTTAAGAACAGCTGCTTCTTTGTGAAAACATAAATATTATTACATAACATAACATGCAAGATAAAGAACATTAATTAATACTTAAGAATAACAGTGGTGCTAATATGTACTTACCACTAAGGGCTGAAGTAGCTGACAAAACCAAGAAAATAAGAAGTGGTTTCATTTTTTCCGTTTTCTGAAACGTCACAACCTTCCTCTGGTTCTATCAGCCCTTAGAAATAAAAAAAAAATACAAATTCAAACATTTAAGTTACATTAGGCCTTTATTAAGTTATTGCTGCTCACGCTTTTCTGTAATTGTAATTTCCATCTGTCAACATAAACAAGGGATTTGATGCTTGGGTCTCGTATAGTGAAGTGCGTGCCCACTCTGGACGTGACAATATTTATATATATATACATCAGTCATTGTGTCAAATGGGCAGGAGATATACACAGGGATCAGGGAGACGTAAAACATCTTTTGATAACGAAAAAGGGACTATGAAAACAATTAACCTAACATAATGGCAAACAAATATTGAAAATTATTATTTAATATATATAAACTATTATATAATTTTTATTTAAATATTTGCAGTGTAACGCTTAGAAGCTGTTAAAATGAAAAAGCGATGATTTAAAGGAAAACAATCTAATATAATGATCAAATAAAATTGAAATTTTCAAAAGATATATACAATGTATATATAATTTATTATATCAATCTTGATTATATCTTTACAGTGTAACGCTGAGGAGCGACACTTACCAGAGGCTCTTGAACATTACGCTTATTGTGTAAGTCAAATAAAAACAATTCGTGTAAAATCCTGTATATATTATTAAAAGAATAAAAGTTAATGTTTCACAGATAAATTCTTAAGGGAACTACCTTAACTCATCTATTTTACATAGGTGTGTCACATAATATTATGATGTTCCATACACATGCCTTTTAGCATAAATACATATATCAATATGCATTTTTGATTTCTTACGCAAATTTAAAGAAGTAAGCATTGATTTTTTTTTCAATTTCCCCTAAATTGAAGAAAACATGGAAGAAAACCTCCGATTCCGCAGAAGCCCAGCTTTATTCCCCTCATACAGATACTATACATTTCGCTGAACCTATAGAGGGATATAGTGACTGCAATATTGAGGCAAGGTAAAAGGAGAAAAAACATTTGGTTTGAAAGTAGATCCATCATGTGGCAAACCATGAAACAATAAACCACTAGTAATAACAGAAGTCAGTCGAGATAGGATTTTGAGGTTTCCAACAAAGAACGTGATTCATAGTATCACAATGTTCGTACATTTTCGGTCTGCAAAGATCCCTGTACCACTGCCGAAAAAAATGCAGCTATTAATTGAAAACTCTTTCACATGCATGATGTTTTTAAGAATAATAAAAACAAAGAAACCCATTCCCTGACAATTTTTTATGAAATAACAAGAAGTTGAAATAGAAATATTAATATCAATGCTTTGAAAGGAATAGGATTTGGGATTCGAACCTAGGACCTGGGATAACAATACTGTTGTTCTAACCACCTGCAAGTTATCTGATTACCTGGCCCAGTCCAATTGAAATTATATCGAAAATGAAACTAATAGGGGGTTACTGTATGTATGAAACACTATAATGGAATGTTTTTTTACTGCTTTGCCTGCCATGGGACAAGTATCTTTTACTCATCCACCCCTAAAGGACACATTTGAATTCTGCCAATTCAATGGTTGGAATAGTTCATTATGAAAATTCAGGGGTGAATGAGTTAATGTATTATATCCAAAAATGCATGTCAAAGATGCTTAAAAGTACACTAATCAGCGGGAAACCCAATATTAAATTAGAATAAACAAGTTTGCATCGTGATGTAAAAAGGACCATCCATGTCTATTTTGTCCTCGTATAAAGACGTTTTAATATTATATCATTACGTAAATCACAAATCTTAAATTCATTGATAATGAGTGTTTGTAATGACGTTATGATGGAGTAATTATGAGTCTATGATGATCTGTCACCAAACATTTTTCGCCTATCTGTGGTTTATAACCTTTCCTAATGCGTCACCGTTTATCATTATGTGTATATATGTGTCCTTGTTCGTGTGTTTTTATCGTGAAATACAAAAAGCGTGAATATAGCATATTATAATATTATTGATGGTCTTGTTATTTTATACTGACTTTCTATCTCCAATTATCTTTGTCCTCGAAACTCGAAAACATACTTTCTCATGTCAAAAATATGAAAATAGTTTGAAATATAAATTTATCTGACACAAATATAACTTGATTGCGATAAAATAGATCTCTCGTTAGAAAAGTTTTATAGTATTATACGTATGACTTGTCCAGTGATTTTGACCAGTGAATTAATTTCAGGTAATTTGAAATTGCGTTTCAATCAACCAAAACTCGATTGTTAGACTAAAATACTTTCCCATGGTTAAAGTATTAACATATTTTGAAATTTAAATTTATCTGACACAAATATAACTTGATTGCGATAAAATAGATTATCTCGTTATATAGGTTTGATATTACCAGATATATGATTTGTCCAGTGATTTTGACCAGCAAAATATGTTCAGATCATTTGAAATTCCGTTTCAATCAACCAAATTGATGTTGCGTTCAACTTGAAATAACAAAGCAAACAGCTTGAATTAATAGTTAAAATAAACAAGATTAACAAATAGCATCAAATCTTTATAGATATTATTGCGAAAACATTGGTTAAATAACAAGTACAGGGTTCGAGTACAACAGTGTGGTGTAATGTGTTCTATGATAAGTATCATTAAGATTAAGCCTCAGTGTCGTGAGGAAAAAAATGATTTGCAAGTATATACATAATTTTGAAAGATTTAATTAAACTTAAATACACATATTTTATCGATAATCCTTACCTCAAACCTCAAAATAAAAATGAAAAAGATAGAAGAATAAAAGGTAATTTGAACATTCAGAAATAAGTTTTTCACACGTTAAAGTTTTCTAGCACTAGAAACCATAATCAGTATCCGCAGCAAAGAAAGTGATGCAGGGTCTCATCTGTAACTATGATCCAAGTATTGATACTTTTTGAGAGGTAGCCTTAAAACGACAACCGAACTGGAAGCAATGAAATATGTTAATCCGGTTGATTAAATATTGGCGGGTGGGNTGGAAGCAATGAAATATGTTAATCCGGTTGATTAAATATTGGCGGGGGGGGGGTCTGCTGCTAA